CGGATATTTAGATCACTCATATACTCCATTTAAAAATAATAGAAGTGTAATTTTGATAAATGTTTAAGACAAAAGTTGTTTGGGATCAAGAAATGTATTATATGAGCATATTCGATTGACCTTAGTTGGCGAAAGTCATGTCAAGATCGAACTTTTTAAATGGGAATTTATAACTTTTATTACATATTCTTACATGGTGTCATTAAAACGTTTTCGAAACACTGATTACAAATACTTTTCAGTTGAGACGTTCCTGAATTATGAGATTTCAAAATTTCAATACCGCTGGGCATTACCGTTACATAAGGTGTACTACATAGAGGTCGTACGGTTAGGAACTTTAATCAAACATCTTAAGAGTTTAAATCCGATCGTATGACCTCTAACTGGTATATCTTGGATAATGCTCTCGCCGGTGATATTAAAGTCTCATAACTCAGGAAGATCTTAACAAAAAAGGTTTCTAACCTGTGTTTCAAAAACGTCTTGTTATCAATTACAAGAATGAAAGATATAAGTTCTCGTTTAAAAAATTTAACATTAACATGATTTTCACGGTGCTAACCAAGGTTAATCGCATACACCCATATAATGCATTACTTTATCCCCAACAACTTTTGTCTGAAACATTTTTTAAAATAATTATCTTCTTTGTTTTTACATGTGGTGTACAGGAAGATCGAAACACTTGATATGTGTATACATATTTACATAGTGACTCTCGATAAATCAATACGGATTACAAAATTTTTCTATATATAGAATGTATGTTGCATAACTAATAAGATTCTACTTTTTAAGTAAGTTTTTTAGCTTTGTCTGTAAAAATTTATAACTATAAAGTTGGCATATTAATCCCGATACATAAGAATCAATATTAACAACGTATTTTTTAAATGTCACTAAATAAAAATAATTATTTTTTTCAGATATTAAAAACATCGATGGGCTATATATCATTTTTATTAACAAAACATGGCTAAACATGATATATAATATTAATATTCAATATTTATATTTTCTTAAGTATATATAACGTGTTCACAGTTATATACTTACAAGTAGACACAATTTTTAGAAAGCATGATATTGTTAGAACTGTAGTAAAAATATAATTATGTTTTGTTTCTATTGGTTGTTGTTTATTATAAATTATATCATTAAAGACATTTGTAATGTAATAAATATTTTTATTGAACAAAAATAGTTCGATGGTAATGGGTCCTTGTGCATTACGTTTAACCCTAGCTCGCCACGCTAGGATACAACGTAAAGTATGCAATTTTTTTACATTGCTGTAATTTTTTTTTATATTATATAATTTGATCATATAGATTGAGGTTTAAAGGAAACCTTAACTATCCATAGATATATAATATAATAATAAAGTATAATACAAAATTTCTTCTTAATGTTTATCTTTGAATTACATTACATTTAGTGATAATGTTTTATCAAATGACAGCTATATTTAATCAAATCAACATGACAAAATAAATGTACTTACGTTATTATAACTTATGTGAGTTTTATCACGTACTTCAGTTTTGAGAAAAGAATTTTTTGCCTTCTATCTTCGGTTAAACAGAACATGCAACTAAAATAAATTTGTTATTACATTTCGAGAACAACTTTGAACGCTATCTTACGTTATACATTTGCAGTTTTAAGACATTAAAATTTTATTATTGGAAATGCACGAGCAATTTTCAAATATAAATTGTAATCTTCTTATAGTCCAGAGAAAATATTTTATCACATTTCTTATAATGATAGCAAATGTTTTTAAAAGAGATATTTAAAAGAGATATTTAAAAGATGCGTGTTATACGTGCACTATACAATTTCACATCATCTTTTTTCTAATATAATTTTTGTTGGCTGGTGTAGAAAATCTCATTAAAGATGCAACAGCGTTATTTCTTGTTTCTCAATAAACGCATATACATATAATAAAATTCAAAATACTGACTGATGTTGTACCTGTTTTAGATTTTAAAGAATAAAAAATAAGAACATGGGACTGATGACCTTGACATATGTTGCCAAGTTCATGACCTTGAGTGATCTTAAGAATGTTTTCATCATTTTAAACCTTATTAAAAGGTACTCAATTCACAAAGTGGGTTTTAAGAAAACTTATATCAATTTTAGTAAAATCAATAATTAGACAGATAATGAAACATAGTTAATATGTATGCTAAAACTTTTAATTAATATATTAATCTTTTAAGGAATACATGGATAATATAAAATTTATAATTTCAAAAAATGAAATTCATTCATTGTAACTATATATTACTTTCTAAGAGCAAAACGAGATCCATTTCACATCTTTTCTTTTTATGTCAATACGAGGTCTATAATTGTACCGATCTATATCAGTTTTTGATCTTCACATGAAATAAGGTCAAAAAACGTATTATTTCATATCAGTTTTACGTGAAAAAAACATACATGATCAGGGAAAATGTAGAACCTGTTTCACACAATACTCCTAATTCAATTCAATCCAATCTAATTTCTAAATGACAAAAATTTGTTTTCTGATTGCCAGTCAAGATCATAATCTTGACAACATATATTAATGTCATTTATAGATGCTTTTCATTTCTATAGTTTTATTGATTAAATTTCTCGTTTCTACAGTTTTACTGATTATATTTGCAATAATAACATTTATGTATTAAACTTAGAAAAATATTTATATGTGCAAATTAGAAAGTAATTATTGTCAATCAATATTCTGACTTTTATGATATATGTATAAAGAAACACAAATATATGTATATAGATACACAAAAAAGATCATTTCTAGATATTTTTTAGTTAATATTTATTTATTGTTTTATTATTTGTCTAAACAAAAATAACTTTTTAGATACTAAAGACGTCATGTGGTTATGTATCGTTTTTACTGGCAAAACGTGGTTGAAGATCATAATGATATATTAATATTTGTGATTAATAAAAAAAAATTTGCAGTCAAATAATTATTAGATAATAGTATTTAATTGTTATTACAGCAAAAATAAAATTTGTATTCATGATTCTCATAGCTTATTGTTTATTGTTAATTATATTATTAAATATCCTTTAATATAACATTGTCAATATTTTTGTAGAAATAGTTCACAGAATAACCATAGAATGGAAGTAACTAGTTACGCCATTACTGTCAGAAGCTTACAGTTATTTTGTTTTGCATTAGACTATCAACAGCGTTTTTTGTTTTAACAATTGTAACGGTAATTACATTTTTTTCGATAATGAATTTTACAGTCATCCTCGTCGTTACTTTTTATATTTTAAACTTCTTTATGACATAATTTGTGCATATTTAATCTGCAGTTTTTGATTGGTATTCATAATTTGCTGTTTTTTTTTAAAGTAGCTTTCCAATCCATAGAAAAAATTTGACGGAAATTGGACTTTTATTAAGTCACTTATATTTATGCCACCAAAATAAAGGCGATTATGTTTAACGATATTTTTTTTAATAAAGCTTTTAAACAAGAAACTATTTTTTATATGTTATATAGTGAAAATGCTGTTTGCTTACAGTCCGGATTACACATATAAAATGATTAATTAATAATGTCTAATCCCTTAGAAAGGCTAAATCTGTATAATCTGTATTAAAATCAAAATTATAAATAAAGAGTATGTAAATAATAAGTTAAAAGATAAGTTAGCTACTATCTACCGATCTTTCCTACATAAGAATCGATCTTGGCAACGTAATTCTCAAATTATTAAATAGAAATAATTATTATTTTCAGATATTAAAATCATCGATAGATTATATATCATTTTTATTGACAAAAATAGCTAAAGATAATCTATTAATATTTAATAGTTACACAAACATACATATAAGTATCATTTTTGTTGACAAAACATGGCTATGGATAATCTATTAATATTCAATAGTTACACAAACATATGTTCGTATACGCTTACAAATTATATACTTAAAAGTTTCTAGAAGGAATTTTATATTGTTAGTTAAAACAAAATTATGTTTTGTGTATTATACGTAGTTGTTGTTTATTATAAATTATATCATTTGTAATATAATAAATATTTTCATTACACAGAAATAGTGCAATAAAATCTAGGTCCTTATGCACTACGTTTAAGGAAAATTGAGAAGCCTGTAGTACAAAATATAATACGAAAATTCCTCTTAATATTTGTTTTTAAATTACATTTTTTTTAATAATAATGTTTTATGAATATTTTATGTTAATTGCGTTTTACCAATTCAATATGACAAGATGAATGTATTTACGTTATTATATCTACATGTGTTTTATCACTACTTACTTTAATTTTGAGAAAAGAATTGGTCGGCTTGCTTACTTTCCTTGTCATTGAACAGAAACATTGGATAATACATTTGTTATTTTATAGAAAGAATATTGTCAGATCTTTAAAAATTATCTTATACCTCATAAAATTGTAATTTTAGACACTGAAATTTTATCATTGGAAATGCATAAGCAATTGTAACGTACGAATTATAATCCACTTATAATTTAGATATAATATTACCTTCACTTACGTTTATTGCAACAAAAAATATCTTTGAGAGACATTTAAAAGATACGTATAATATACAATTTTATTTTATCCCTTTTTTACTATTATTTTTATGATTGGTATAAAAAGTTGCATTAAAGATGCAATAGCGTTATCTTCCGAATGAACGCATACATAATGAAGCAATGTAAAGAATACAACAAACTTTTTCTTCGAGTTTGACGAACATATAATGCGATGCAATATTTTTATCTCTAATTTTATTAGACTGGATATAAACAATTTTTATAACTTGAACATTAATAAAGTCTCTCTTACTATATCAGAAACTGTAATAGCGTAATTAATTTTTAATGTAGCGAACTGTCAAGTTGCTGTATGGAAAACATGTGTGATAATCATTTTACATTATATCGTCGAAAGAAAAAGACATTTTTCCCGTTTTAATTTTCCATATGGATATTTCAAAATCTTCAGGATACAGAGGTATGTCATGTTACATATTTTCCGTTTATCATTCGTGTTTAATGTTATTTAACTTCGATATATATGCCGCACGTATCAAAAACTTAATTAACAGTTTATTATGTTTATAAAATACTAAAAATACAAACTATAGCAATAAAAGCTTTATTTATTTTTAATTAAATGTTGTAACAACAAGGCACAGAATGAATAAATCAATATAATATAGTGAATGCCTTTTTTCAAGCCAACACAAATTCTTAGTATATAACAATTTATTATTTCTTAGAAAATTCAATGCTAAACTGTTCCGACCTCTTTTTTTGCCTTCTTCAGTATAGTATAAAATTATAAACAATAAAATAATAAAATACATGCTATGCGAGTGATTCTTATAATGCGTGTATTGTTTCGGATTGTATCGATTTTTTTTTACAAATATAAATTTGATTTTGGTATTGCCGTATTGTTGGCTTTGCCGTATTAATCTCCATTGTACGCATCAGTACAGTTTATTCAGTTTTGTATAATTGTACAATATTATTTATGTATTAATTTGTCATTATTTTATCCAAATTCAATCGCTTATATGGTATAAAAATTTATTAGATTTCATGTGGGCAGTTAATCTACATCGTTTAAGTTTCGAAATGGTGGGCTTATGGCCTAAATTCACCAAATGTACTAAAAAAAGTTTGTGGCCAGAAATTTGGGTTGGCATCGTTTATATTTTATTAATATTTGTGTCTAATATTCCGACGATATGTGCGGTTGTAGACGTTTGGGGTAATATGATGCTTGTGATAAAAAATTTACATACAACGTTACCTCTAATAATGGTATCAGTGAAATACGTTATCATTCGACGTAAACAAACAGGTATGTTCAAAATTATAAAACGTTTAATATTATATTCTATATATTTGCTAAATTATATTATGTTATATTGAATAATTATAATTATAAAAATATGTTGTGAATTGCAACATTATAAATCAAAAATTGTATTTATGATTTACTCCTACATAGCAATTCATATGGAAATAAAATATAAAACGTTTATGATTCTCTCTTTACGATAATTTATAAATAACAATATACATTTAAATAATTTAATATTTTAACGTCTTTAATAATACTCAAATTTTATATATACCGAGATCAATCTCAGAAATATCTAATTAACATTTACGAATGTCTCTGTCTTTGAGCATCTCCTCTCTCTCTCTCTCTCTCTCTCTCTCTCTCTCTCTCTCTCTCTCTCTCTCTTTCTTCCTCTCTCTCTTTTCCAACAGATTTTTCAACTTAGAAAATCTCTAAAAGTCATACGGGGCTGTATCTGGACTATACAAATGTTGTCAAAATTGAACCCCGTTTAGTTAAAAAATCTTAAATCAGGCGAGATGAATGAGCAAGTATGTTATTGTGGAAATGCGACGCTCGGAGCCTTCGATGCTCACATAACTGCGTACCGTTGCCAACTAAAATTGTTGGGTCCACGATTGGTGAGTGTATTCCTCAAGGTACCCCATAAATACTGAATTCATTTTTTAGAATAAAGATAGATAGAGAGAAAGAGAGAGAGAGAGAGAGCGAGAGGGGGGGAGAGAGAGAGAGAGAGAGAGAGAGAGAGAGAGAGAGAATGCTCAGAGACGAAGATATAGACAGAGATCGACTTTTAGAACAAACCTCGTACATATTTAAATTTTTAAGTTCTCTTGTCAATTGTAAATATGATGGCGGAAGATTGGATGGAATTCAAGCTGGATGAAGAAAGAGATGTGATGATAAAACGAGCACAAACAGCGCGATTAATTATGATGATTGGATATATTCTCGTGATAATATCGGTTTTCACACTCATTATTCTACCTTGTTATGGCATTGAAGTAATGTATGTAGCGAATATCACGGGTGTACGCAAACTGTTACCGTTGAAAACGTATCATTTCTACAATACAGATAAAAGTCCGCAATTTGAATTGACATTTTTCATTCAAAGCTCGACGGCATTATTAGGAGGTACCATTTATGTGTGTGCAGATTTTTTTTTAGTGCTAACGGTTCTTCACATTTGTGGCCAGTTAGAAAATTTTAAATGTCGATTAATTAATTTAATTTCGTGCAAGAATTTCAATAGAGTTTTGAATAACATTGTGGCTACTCATTTACGTCTTATCAGGTATGAATTTTTATTGTCACCATAGATAACATTTAATAAAATTGATTGGTAAAAATGATTGAAAATTAATTTGTGATAATTATTTTAAATATTCTTATTTTTGCAGATTTGCCGATAATATCGAAAATACATACTCTTTAATGATGTTGATATCAATGCTACATTTTTGTATTGCATTTTGCCTAAGTGGGTTTTTATTTACTATTGTAAGTTTTAGTAAAACAAATATAAAAAAATATATTAATACATGCGTTACATTTTTTTATCTTTTTGTAACTTATAAAATTTCAGATACTTACTGATAAAAAAATAGATAAAACTGTTATGGCGCAAGGATATTACTCGATATTACTTCTTATTTTTTTATTGATGAATACTTTTCTCTATTGTGAAGCGGGAGAGTTTGTAACGGATCAAGTAAGTCATATTTAATTTCAACAAAGGATAGAAATAATATTAAATAATAATAAACTAAGGTTTGCATTAAGTGAGAAGTACATTCAGTCAAGGCGAATATTGGTATTTAATTACATATTGTGTGAGTTTTAATTTACAGCTTGTAATAAAAAATTAAATTATTTACAATACACTAAAGTTTATTAACATTAGTAATATTGAATTGCTTATCAATTTATAATTGGTATTATTATGTACTTTAGTTTTCGTTCAAAACTATGTTTCAAGATCTCCAAATAATTAGTGCACAGTTTGTTTAAACTAGAAACTCAAAAAATTTATACATTATGTTATAGGTATCAAGATTTATCTTGACTGAATATGGAACGCTTTACTCATTTAGGTTGGAAAAATAAGAAATTAATTAAGTTTCAATTAACTATTATTAACACTTTTGGCAATTATGGATTCGGACCAAAAATTTCGATTTAGATAATATCCGAGGCTAAATCCAACTTCTCTCTCTCTCTCTTGTTCCAGTTGTTTTATCATAACGATTATTAGAATGATTTGAATTTTGGTCCTTTTTTTCTATTTCAGTTTCGGTTTTTAGCAATTACTTGTAACGATCATCATTATCACTAAGAGAACTGGAACACACTAAACCTAGACTAAAATCGAATGTTGGATAGCTTCGGACTTTATTCATAATCAGATCGAAAATTTAATCCGGAATGTAACTTCAATGCGAGTTCCTACCAGAAATATTTCTCATTAAAATGGCATGGACATTAATATATTTTCTTATGTGTACGTTTAATATTCAAGTGCAATGCAGTATATCGTGCAATGTGCGATCTTGAATGGTACAAGTTGGAATCAAAAAAGGCAAGAAATTTTATTGTGTTGATAATGCGAGCCAAACATCCTTTTCGTTTCACTGCAGGAAAGATTTTTCCATTAACAATGGTTACTTTTTGCAGCGTAAGATTATTTAGAATTCTGTCATTATAATTTTATTCCTTTATTATTTAATGTAATCTGTTTTACTTTTATATGCAACTTCTCTCTCTATCCTATCTTTTCTCTCAACATGCACGGTTACTGTTATCACTAAGAGAACTGATACACACTAAATAGACACTAAAATCGAAAGTTGGATAGCTTCGGACTTTATTCATAATTAGGCCGAATATTAGGCGCGCACACACACATACATCCTCGCGCGCATGCGTCAGGGCATCCTAGAATACTTGCTGCCTATAGTAAATAACTCCTCACATGCCTAATAACCACGCATACATTTAGCAGTAAATCGGGTTAATACATGCTTATTCGACAATCATTAATAATTAAATTTTGTTATCTATTACGGAAATTACAAAATGATATAGGACTTCCATTTACAATTAGTTTAGTTCACTCTATCTGAGAGATGATGCGATTACAATCGGATACCCTGTATACGTGCACTTGTAATTTTTTAAATAAAAATTTCATTTAACTATTGTATCAGTTTGATAAAATTAGAAAATATAAATGTTTATATTTGTAAACACATTACATCATTAATTTTGATACATATATGATAAAATTCAAAATATTGACTAATGTTGTATCTGTTTTAGATTGTAAAGAATAAAAATAAAGATCACGGGACTGATGACCTTGACATATGCTGTCAAAGTCATGACTTTAATTGACCATGAAAAAGTTTTAACCGTTTTAAATCTTATTAAAACGTTATTTACAAAATAAGTTTTGAAGTGTACTTATACCAATATTAGTAAAATTAATAATTAAACAAATAATGAAACATAATTAATGTTTATGCCAAAACTTTTAATTAATATGTTAATCATGTAATGGATATATGGATAATATAAAACTTATAATTTAAAAAAAAGAAGTTCATTGTAATTATATATTATTTTTTGAGCGCAAAACGGGGTCCACCTCACTCCTTTTAAGTCTATAATTGTACTGATCCGCATGAGTTTTTGATCGTCAGAAAATAAGGTCTACAAACGTACTATTTCGTATGACCAATCTCATATGTCCATATATCCAATCCAATCTAATTTCTAAATGAAAAATTTCGTTTCAATGCCAGTCAGTGTCATAATCTTGACAACATATATCAATATTGAAGACATTAAAAGGTGCTCCTCGTTTCTACAGTTTTTATGATTGTACATGTAATAATAACATATGCTACATTTATATATTAAACTTAAAAAAATGTTTATATGTACAAATTATAAAGTAATTATTAGTCAATATTCTGACTTTTATGATGTATAGATACAAAAAGATCATTTCAAAATATTTTTTAGTTAATATCTGTTTTATTATTTGTCTAAATAAAAATAACTTTTTAGATACTAAAGACATCATGTGGTTATGTATCGTTTTTATTGACAAAACGTGGTTGAAGACCATAATGATATATTAATATTTGTGATCAATAAAAAATATGTGTTTGCATCTAAATAATTATGAGTATCGGACAATAGTATTGTTATTATAGCAAAAATAAAGTTTTATTCATGTATCTCATAGCTCATTAATTATTGTCAATTATATTATTAAATATAATGATATTGTCAATTTTTTTGCAGAAACAGTTCGCAGAAATAACCGGGGAATGGAAATACGGCATTACTGTTACAAGTTTACAGTTATTTTGTTTTGTATTAGATTACTAACAGCGTTTTTTTTTTAATAATTTTTTTTAATAACGGTAATTACATTTTTTTCGATAATGAATTTTACAGTTATCCTCGTCGTTACTTTTTATATTTTAAACTTATTTATGACATAATTTTTGCATATTTAATCTGCAGTTTTTGATTGGTATTCATAATTTGCTGTTTTTTTTAAAGTAGCTTTCCATTCCATGGAAAAAATTTGACGGAAATTTGACTTTTATTAAGTCACTTATATTTATGCCATCAAAATAAGGCGATTATGTTTAACAATAATATTTTTTTA